GGAGGACATGAGGGGACCAGAACTGAGGGCAATGAGATCTCTAAATTAAGGGAGCCCCCTCGCCCATTACCATTTCCTGAGCTCCTTTACCCAGGTAAGGAATCCCTCAGGAAACGTTACTCAAGAAATGCTGCCCTTTTTACCTTCTATATCTAAAAAGAACCACCCTGGGCTCCAGAAATCCCTCACCCACAAACCAGGGCTTGAGTATGTCCTGGGGCAAGAAGCCAGCTTCTTGATGACCTCATAGGATTTTACTCTGAGCTCTGGAAAGAGAGCATGGCTTCCCCTCCAAGCCAGGGGTTCAGACTCCCTCCACAGCCTTGCAGAGGGGATACCCCTCAAGACCCCACAAAGGGTTCATGTCCATTGATCTCAGGCCCGCGGGCTTGCTGCTGGGTAGCTCTCTGTTTACAGAGGCCTTGTCCTGAGCTCTGGAGATTCAGACAAGTAAAATAGGGAAGCCACGACTTACTCTGTGCCCTCCTCAGAGTTTCCTTTCTCATCACGTTACTGTTAGATTTCTGAAGCCCCACCTTTAGGAGAAGGGCAAAAATGTTTGAAGAAAGACAGGAATCACATTCTGGCAAAGAATCAATCCCCAGAAGTGTCACTTTTGGATTCAATCACTATCTCAAGACAACGTTAACAATGCATGCCCCCATTACAGGCATGATGGTGTGCAAGGCTCAAGATCCCCATAGTCCATGGGAGTCAGGGGCCCCTGTTCTCAAGGAATTAAATGGAATTGAGGTGGGAGGCAGAAGGAAGAGGAGAGGATCCAGGATACTGTTGCAAAGCCCCTCTTCCTAGATGGCTGGCTGAAGGAAGGTCTGCTGGGGTCCGACAGCCCATGAATATGCAGTCGGGGCCAGCCTCAGTGAGAAGCCAGAAGGAAGATTCCAAAATGATAACAGAGAGAAGTTGCCACATGTCCAATATACAGAAGGGGAAGAAGGTTTATCTCAGGATAAAATCATATGTTCCATTTAAAAAAAAAAAAAGAAAAGATTTTTTTCAGGCAGAAAGTCAGAAAAAAATCTGGCTTATGGCCCGGATGTGGGGGGCATTATCATCAGGGACCCTAGTTTGGCATCTCGGTGTTTGTCACTGGATCCTGAAACCTTTCTGTGTGGCCAGCATCCCTGTTTCCAGTGGGTGTGACTTTGAAATAATGCATCCCCGGGGTTCTTTTGTCTTTCGTAATAACACTTTCAAAACAAGCTGAAAAGGATTTTGATTCTGTTAGAATCTGATGTTAAAAAAAAATATTTTGTTTCTTTTGTGAGAGAAAATTGGTTGTTTGCCTACATCTGAACCTGCTGACCAAAAAAAAAAGGTGGGGGGCGGCATGGTGGTTGTGGAGGACTCTCAAAACAAAAAGAGATAGTGCTGAATCCGGGCACACATTCTGAAAACGAAAGGAAGAGACAGGCATTGCTTGTATTATTTTATGAAGAAGGCCAGAGGATGTGTTTTCAAATGAACTTGAGTACCCCCCACCAAGTCTTGACCATGATAAGGAAAAATGTGCTCTCATATGTTCTTTATAACATTAGTTTTCCCTGAAGATATGAAATAATAACTCCTATTTAACACAAGATTAACAGAAGCCCAAAGAGAACTTGGCCCTTCTTCTGTCACCTGGCCCTGTCCACACCCAGAATGGCAGACCCAGGCACCTCAGGAAGGAGTGTGACACAGTAGAGGGTTGGCACAAGGGGAAGGAGGCAGCAGTGCCCTGGTTTCCCTTTGCACACACACCTTCCTACCTTCTTTACTGTACTCTCAAGCCCCACCCCTGAAATTGTGTGGCATGAGATTTGCCATCTTGCCTTTTTTTACTTTGCACATTCCTGGTGGGCTGCCAGAAATTTGGGGAGCACAAGTCCAGGACACGGGGCAAATGAGCAGGGTGCCGGGAGACCTAGGAGCCAGATTTCACTGAAACTTGTTTGCTGAAGGTTAGGACATTGGGCTATCTGATCAAAGCTCAGAAAAGTTCATCCTTGTGATTTAATCATGAAAACACAAGATCCTTGGTGTGGGGAGACCCTGAAGAGGTCGAGGGAAGGATAGCGAGTGTCAGAGAGGAAAGAGTCCTCATCTGGTGTGTGTAGACAACTCTAGTGGCAGTGAAGGGGAGTGGCCTGAGTGACCTCTCTGGTGTGACCAGAATGATCTATGTATTGATGATAGTGGTATTTCCCAGAATATGCATATTCTTCAGGACTTACAGATTTGGTCACCAAAAAGGGGGAATTTTAATGTATGTCAATTATATTCTGATTTTCTTTTCCTTAAAAAAAAGAGTAAAATAAAATGCACTGGTCACCATTTGGGCCTAGCCTGCTCTTGCTGGGACCCGTGGTCTTAAAGACCAGAACTTTCTAGGCCCCCAGATTTTAATTCTTGTGCCCCCCTAATCAGTGATCAAATACCATGTAGGTCCATAGGAGCTTAGGCTCCTCTTTCTGCCCACAGAGAAAGACAAAGATGAGCAAACATGCACGTAATTTTCCTGATGGAGAGTTCCTAAAGTCCTCTCACTTGGGTGGATGAGACCTTCTTCCCTCAGACACAGGTGGCAGCTGTCAGTGTTTCTGAGTCTAAGGTCTCCCATAGGTGCTGGCCCCGGGGAACTCAGTCAGGGAGAGGAATCAGCGAAGACTTTGTTTAGGTGTCCACACCCACCAGCACCCTTGCAGTGCCCCAGTGGGGCAGATGGTTGACAGAGTTAAGAGATTTGCCCAGACTCAGCCTTCAAGGACCTGTGGACATCTGGTCTATCACTTTCAACTCATGATTCCTTTCTCTTTTGCAAGTCCCTCCTCTTTGGTGTTGCTACACTTGAGGGTCTCCTGTGGCAATTGAGCATAAAGGTGTGGGTAGTACTGTCTTTCTCACAGCTCCAGGGGCTGCCTGGGGTGGAGCCACTTTTCTCTTTCAGGCTCTGAGAAAGCAAGATTTGGGGTGTGTTCCTCCTCTGTGGCCTCCCCAGGAGTGCAACGGAGGGGATGTCTGTGCCCCTACACTTCGATGGGCTTTGTGAGTAGGGAGAATAGAACTTGGAAGCAGGATTTTACAGCTCCCAAGGGGCTGCTTCTCACCTCGTGCAAACATCTCCCCCCTTAAGGAACTCCCACTTCCCACCATGTTGCTTCCCTGGAGAGGGCGGCAACCCTTCCAAGTGACTGCACCTTGCCCAGAAAGAGTACTTTCCACTCTGCACCACCTTGAATTTGCTCTCAAGACATTTGAGATCTCAACACAATCATTTTTAATCCACTTATGCATCTACTAATTTATTGGCACATATACAAACATTTATTGGGCATCCGCTGTGTGTCAGAACCTGGGCTAACTCATTTCATCTAATGCTCATGGAAATCCTGTGGAGTGGCTAGTACCCCATTTTACCACCTTATATGGGTTTCATGGCATCCATGGTCATGTGACCACCATGTGTCAGGTTGGGATTCAAACCCAGGTGTATATGACACCCATACGCCGTGTTTGGCTTGCTGGATGCTTATAAGGGAAACTGTGCAGGTGTGTGCTTATGCGGGCATGTAAGTAAGTCTACAAGTGGCTATTATTGTCCCAACCAATTTTAGTACAGAAATTGAATACCAGTGTGCTCTTAATAAAATTCAAGTGACATGACATGCCTGGGTGGCTCAGTCAGTTAAGCATTTGGCTTTTGGTTTTGGCTCAGGTTATGTCTCATGATTCATGGGGTCCAGCCCTGCGTTGGGCTCTGCGCCGATAGCATTTTGAACTCTCCGCCTCTCTCTGCCCCTCCTCCACTCATGCTTTCTCTCTCTCTCTCTCTCTCTCTCCTGCTCTCAAAATAAGTAAATAAACTTAAAAAAGAAAAACAAACCTTGAGTGATATACTTGCTTCTGGGATAGAATTCCCTGTCTGTAAGCTGACCTAAGGCCCTCTCTCCCCATCCTCCTCCTCCTTTACATCTCCATTCTACCTCTTCAGCTCCATTTTATTTTATTTTATTTTATTTTATTTTATTTTATTTTATTTTATTTTTTCAAATAGTTTATTGTCAAATTAGTTTCTACATAACACTCAGTGCTCATCCCCAAAGTGCCCTCCTTCATGCCCATCCCCCCCTCCCCCCCACATCCATCAGTCCTCAGTTTTTGTCAGCATTCAAGAGTCTCTCATGGTTTGCCTCTCTCCCTTTCCCCCACCATTTCCGCCCTTCTTCTCCCCCTTGGTCCTCTGTCAAGTTCCTCCTAATCCTCCTATACGTGCAAACATATGGTATTTGTCCTTCTCTGCCTGACTTATTTCGCTCAGCATAACACCCTCAAGGTCCATCCATGTTGCTACACATGGCCAGATTTCATTGTTTCTCATTGCCATGTAGTATTCCATGGTATAGATAAACCACATCTTCTTGATCCATTCATCTGTTGATGGACACTTAGGCTCTTTCCATGTTTTAGCTATTGTGGAGAGTTCTTCAGCTCCATTTTAGTAACCTTTCCCCTTGTTCACCATGCTACATGCCCTGCTCTGCTAAGACTTTTTTCCCTGCACAGGGCCTTTGCACATGCTGTTGCTTCACACAGGCTGCTTTCTTCTCCACTCTCCATTTGCCCAACCTCCTGCTCCTCCTTCACATCTAGTGTTAAGGGTCAGCTCATCAAAGACAACTTCTTTACTCCTGCACCTAAATCCCACTGCCCTGTTGTGCTGAACTTCTCCTCCCCAGCTCATACTACTGTCTCTAAGTTAAATACAGTTTGGGAGCAATAATATGTTTTATATGTGTCTCTCCCGTGGGAGTGTAAACTTAAGGCAGAGACTTGTTACCGTGCCAATCACCAAATCAGGCATAGAGTACATGCTCAACAAATATTTGCTGAAGTAGTCCAACAAAAAGGGCTAGATCTAAGGAGAGGACAAATGCGATTTAGCTCATAAAATCAAATTCTGATTTATCCAGAAGTATGACATTGGTCTTCTTCCCTAGGTCCTGCAAGCTGTGGAAGATTATCAGCAACCATGTGCCTCTTGCTGAGATTTGGAATTCTCCCTCAGACCTGGATATCCAATAATGAGAACACAGAGTGGGACCATGGACATTGACCCACAACCCCTGTTTCATAAGGTTTACTCTGATTCTAAATGCTGGGGGATGGTTCTTATAGCTCACCGATTTGTTTATGACCTTAGCATCTTTCTCAGAGTGAGGCTGTGGTTTCCTAGTTGTTTTGAGAATCTTGAGTTCAGATGAGTACTATAAGCAGGGATGCTGATCTCCTATTTGACAGGAACTGGGGAGGATAGGGAGGAACTGGGACCCCTCCTTATAAGTGTCCTGGGGTCCAAGATGCCCCAGTAAGGGTTTTTGGCTCTGACTCTTAAAAGTGCATTTTGGTGTTCTTATATTCCTTAAGAAAATCCCTCTCCTTTGGAGGAGGAAACACTAAAGCAATAAGCCCTATTAAGTAAATTTGCTGGCTACTTGGAAAGAGACCCTTTTGAAAAATGGAAGTCTAAGAACAAATTTGTAAGGTATCACTCTCTCCTCTGGAACCCCAGCACAATTCATGTGTACCGGCTTTGCCTGCACACATCAAGTTTTTCCTTCATATGTGCCTCCTACTGAATTTGGTTTTCTGCTAGCCTACCAAACTCCTAAGGGCAGGCAGCATTGTTCAGATGTGTTATCTTGGCGGCGGGGGGGGGGGGGGGGGGGGGGGGGAGGGACACCGTGCGTAGTAGCCACACCCTGAAGCTGTCAGCCTCATCCAAGATGGATGTTGAAATCTCCAACTTCATTGTCACAACAGTAACTATTCAGATGAGAGATAGAAAATTCAGCATTATCCAGATGTATAAATATATGTGAATATTTGGTCAAACTCCATTCGCTTCCAACGTCTGCTTATGAAAATTTTCAGAGCACTGCATATAAAATTCAGTCAGTGCCATCATCTGAGGAAAAGGGGACCAGGAAATGTTTGTCTTAAAAAGACAGTATTTCTAATCTCTAATAGAAATAAGAATGATTTAATACTGCATGAGACCTTGGTATGTGGAAATGATTGTGAATTTGAGTCACAGACTGAGACCCCTCATGAGTGTTGTGTTTGGATATCTCAGAGGGCAGATAATGCCAAACCATTCATAGGAAGGACACACAGCTGGGATTCTAGAAATGCCCCAAGAAGAACTGTTTCTTTAACTCATCCCCACAAATAATCCTATAATGTGTTTCAAAACACATGGACTCAAGTCCTGTGTATGTTGTTATGGTTACAGAGAGAAGCATAAATATTTGTGCACACAGACATAACATGAAGTCCTCCTACAATGAAAACAATCTCCTCTGGAAAGACCTTTAAAGTCAGAGATGGTGACATGAGGATATGGAGTTAGTGATGGGGTATAGAGCAGCCTTTAAATGCATGTCATGGCATTTGCATTGTTTGTGAGCCCTGTTCAAAGACATAAAATGAGGGGGTTGGTGAAAGCTAGGTGAACAGAAACAAAACCCAAGAGCACCCTGTTATTTGTTTATTTTCTACATGTGATGTCATAAGCAAGAGTTTTGCCTGTGTTCTAGTTTGTCTCCAATAAATAAATAACTATGTACAAATGTGCCGAGTTTACAAAATAGAGGAAAACCTTTGCATTACAAAAGATACACTCGTATGATACATTTTCCCCATACAGTGAAACACGATTTCATTCCTAGCTTAGTTGAACCAACAACCCTGTGTAGCAATATCTAAAGGTGTGTACCTAGTCTTTTCTATCAGAAAGCAAAGCTATAAGTGGAAAATTCCTCAGTTTCTTGAGAACATAGGACCTGACTTGGCCTGCTACTTATTACTGATCCATATTTAATCTATTCCAGAAAGTTGGAAGCTGTCTAAAACAGTTCTTCTCAAGCTATACTGGGCAGACCCCTGCAGATCTTGTTAAAATATAGATTCTCATGCAGTCCAAGTTTCTGCATTTCTAACCAGCTACCACGGGCAGGCAGCTCCCACTTCTCATCCAGTGACCGTGTTCTAAGTGGCCAGGGTGAGAAGGCTTCTTGGAAGTTGGAGAAATTCTTAAGGGCCTGATCAAGGTGAAGTTCTAATTGAGCATCTTCCATGTTCTATTCCCAAGCTCCTGAATCCCACCCCCCAAACCAGCAGAACTGGTTTTATTTTGGAGCACAAATTACTAGAAGAGTAAGACTCAAAATGGTAACTGGCATGAACTGTGCAGCTCATAACTTTCTTAAGCTATCTCCTGGGAGATCCTTCATTCCCGTCTCAATCTAGAGCTATCACGAGAGCATTTCCAACATTGTCAAAAATAACTGGTAACAACAACAATTATAATAATGGGAAAAAGAAATGGCATAAGAAGCAATGAAGATCTTTTGGTTCAAATGAAAAGTGATAACGATAAAACCCAGGCTCACTGTATAAAACTTTAAAAACAAACAAACAAACAAACAAACAACACTCCTTGGCTTGAATTTCTATGACAGTCCAGCAAACATTAGTTAAATGAGCGCCTCTCCCATCTTTCATTAAAATGGTATTGTTCTGGAAGCCTGAAATTTCAGGATAAATTAGCAAATCTGGTTCAAGAGCAAATGGATTATCAACCATCCTTGTTTGTAGTGTTTTTGTTTCTGTTTCATGGAGGAGTTTTGCCTAGACAGAAGCAGAGGGGCAGAAGCAGGGTCTAGAGTAGGGTGGGAGACCACAGGTGGGTTGGCTGAGTGCCAGGTAAGGGGAAATTGGGAGAAAATGAATAGGGAACTGGGGCTTGGCTTCATCAAGGTGAGCCAACCAAAAACCCACCAAGATAGTTTTACTGCCACTTGAAAAGTGGAAGTATATAAATATACAAAAAGGGAAGGGGGAAGCAAGGGAGGGAGGAGGGAGGAAGGGATATAAAGTGGGTACTGGAGACATACAGGTAGGGAAAAATGCAAAAGCAAAAAACTAAAAATCAAAATAAAAAAATAACAAGACCATCCTAAATACTTAAAAAATAAATATCTTGGTCATTATTGACACCTTGATTACACGCACTAGTCCACAGGATCACAGTCTGCCCCAAAGACTGTCAGCCAATGACTCTCACCCCTCCTGTGTCCCTTGGCAAGGGCATTGGACACGCTATAGTCTGTATCTTCATTGTAAGTTGCCATCTCTGCCCAGTTGTCCCATGACACGTGGAAGTGGCTGGGGCGCATACTCCTTCCGACCCCCGCCGCTCCCTAGCCGTGTGCAGAATCAGCAAGAGGCAGGAGGGTCTTCTCCAGTTCCTATGCCAGCTAAAGTGCTTTGGGGTAGGTGGCCAAGGAGTAAGGCTGGGGGAAAGGGGAGAGGCACTGAGGGAGGGGAAGGCCAATCCAACACCCGGGGCCAGAGAGGCGGCCCCTCAGAGTTTCTGAGGCGTCTGCTCGGTTCGCACTTGCTGCAGCACCACCTCTTTGGCGGGGGACCCACACTTGTACTCCAGCTCGGCCCGCATGGCGCCTTGCTTCTTGCGCAGGTGGCACAGGAGCGCCAAAAGAGCTACAACCAGAGACAGGCTGGCGATGGAGATGCCGATGAGCACTCCAGAATGCAGGGGCCCTACCGGCGAGGGGATGGAGGTGGCGCCAGGAGTCGGGCTGACCGGGGGCTCCCCAGAGCCGCTGTCACTGTCACTCTCATTGTCACCGTTCAGCTTGATGGGGTCACAGTCAATGGCAACCTGGCCGGCAAAGAGCGAGTCAGGCCCGCAGATGCACTCGTAAGTGCCAGGGAGATTGCGGCACTCATCGGGGCAGTCTCCATTCTCGCACTCATCGATGTCCGTGCACATGTAGCCATCGTCCAGGATGTAGCCATCCGGGCACTGGCAGGAATCCGGGTTGTTGGGATCGCAGTCAGCTGGGCATGTAGTCTGGTTGCAGAACATCTGGCACCTGTGCGGGTCCTGAGGGCTGGGTACGAAGCCCTCCGCGCAGATGCAGCGATAGTCAGTTTGGCCCACGGACTGGCACTGGTACTCGCAGTTACTCCCGAAGCACGGGTCCACTGGCTCCACGCATTCGCCGTCCACCATGTCGTAGCCCGGGTAGCAGAGGCAGGTGAAGGCGCCCTGCGTATTAACACATTCCTGTGGGCAGGGACTGGGCACCTGGATGCAGTCGTCCACGTCCTCGCACCGGTGCTGGTCTGCAGCCAGCTGGTAGCCGGTCTCACACATGCACAAGTAGGAACCAGGCACGTCTGGGTTGGGAACACAGAAATGCTCGCAGAGGTCGTGGCAGGACTGCTCCGCGGACGCAGCAGCGCAGGAGCGCCCGTCCGCCTGCAGGGCGGCGTCAGCGGGGCAGAGGCAGTGCGAAGTCTCGGCGCTCCGGTTGCAAGTGTGCTCGCAGCCGCCGTTCTCCACGCTGCAGTCCCAGGCGCCAGGCGCTTCCCGGCCCCAGCGCGCCTCGGACTCTCCCCCCGGCGCCGCGCACTCCAGCTCCACCCCGAAGGGCTCTACAGCAGCGGAGCTACCCACCGGCAGCGCCTGGAAGTCCGCGCCAAGGGCCCGGAACGGGGTGCTGTAGGTGATCGCTACGCCGGGGGCCGCCACCGAGCCAGAGTCCACGAGTAGGGGCCTGCAGGAGGCTGCGAAGTGGAACTCGCAGAGGAAACCATCGGCCTCCGCGTCACACTGCTGCTCCTCCCAGGCCGGCTCGCCGGATGCTAGGGCCCCGGCTTCGGAGACAGCGACGCACAGGGGACCGCAGAGAGTCGTCCCGTCGACCTGGAGCCGCGCCCACCTGCTGTAGCTGGTGCGGTTGTCGCCGGTAACCCACTGGAAGCCGCGCAAGGGCCCGAGTCGCCCGGGGTCGTCGCAGCCGTGCTGGAGTTGCAGGCCGATCCAGAGGCGCGGGCTGTCGCCGCTGTCGCCGCTGTCGCCGCTCAGTAGCAGGGAAATGACATCAGCCGCCACTGAAGAGCGCACGGTCATCAGGTGGCCCCCCAGCTGCTCGCAGGCCTGGCTGGCGGCGAAGAAGGTGGCAGGGCCCGAGAAGAGCGCGAAGCAGTCGTGCTCCACGCACTGGCTGCCGCGTGGCTGCGGCCCTGGGGGCG